TGTGAGGTCCGTATGTCCATGTGGGGTCCGTGTGTGTGTGGGTCCGTGTCCGTGTGCGTGGAGGGAGGGCTGGCACCGTCCGTCCGGCAGTCCTCCTCACCGGCACCCAGGCCCCACCTGGCAGACCAGAGGCGGGCAGCCGCCCCCGTCCGGCCCGGGCCCCCGCAGCCCCGCGCAGGTACTGTGCCCACGGCTGCTTGAGACAAGCTGCCGCATATCCCCCCCACGCCTCCCGCCGCGCCACCTCCCAGGCGACGAAGTTGGGGCCTGGCGCTGTCCCTGCGCTCTTCAGCTCAAGGCGAGCGCCTACCGCTTGAGCCACAGCGCCACTTCCGGTTTTCTCGTGGTTTATTGGAGATGAGAGTCTCATGGACCTTCGTGCCCGGGCTGACTTTGAACCGCGATCCTCAGATCTCAGCCTCCTGGGTAGCTGGGATGACAGGCGTGCCCCCCGGTGGCTGAATCTTGTATAAGATGACTCTGAACACCTGTAAATCTGTTCAAGTCTCACCCTTGCTCTTTTGGGCCAGTCTTGGGCAGTCCCTGCACTTCTTTTGCTCAGGGCTGGCTCTCTGACATTTGGGCCACAGCATCACTTCCAGCTTTTTCTGTGTATGTGGTACTGGAGACTCGAACCCAGGGTTTCATGCCAGCACTCTACCACTGAGCCACATTCCTAGCTCCTCACCCTTGCCTTTAAACTGTAGCTTCAATGGGAGGTTCTGCAGTACAGGTACTGCTAATACATCAGTAACTGCTTCCCCTTAATAACTGTTGGGCTCCAGAGATCTCAAACAAACACAGAGGAGCCGAACACTGATGGCTCATTCCTGGACTCCCAATTGAAGCCAGCACAAGCAGAAAAAGTCCCAGCAAAAAGCTAGACTGGAATCATGGTTCAAGGAGTAGAATGTCACCTAAACAAGCAAGCAAGAGGCCCTGAGTTCAAACCCCAATACCAGGTTTTTTTTTTTAAAGGGGGTGTGTGTGTGAAGCAGGTGCTGGTGGCCCAGGCCTGTAATCCTAGCTACTCAGGAGGCTGAGATCTGAGGATCACAGTTCAAAGCCAGCCTAGGCAGAAAAGTCCATGAGACTCATCTCCAGTTAACCACTAGAAAACTAGAAGTGGCTCTGTGGCGTAAGAGGTACAGCGCTCGCCTTGAGCTGAAGAGCACAGGGACAGCGCCTAGGCTGAGTTCAAGACCCACGACCAAAAAAAAAAGGGTGGGGTGGGGGTGGGAGAAGAAAATGGCTCATTTAATATCTAAACAATAGTGCTTTATTGAAAAAGATTAGTTTAAATGGATACAAACTTGCTGTGTAAAATAAGTGTTTTCAAAATACATTACTCTAGGCAGAGATGATCTCTTTAGTGAAAGAGCAATCATGGAAACGTCCAAGTGTGAGGCCCAGGCCCTCCCAGGCCACACTGCACCCTCTGGTGGCAGCAGGTCCTACATGGTGGCTTTATCACAACATACACTGACAGAAACATAATTGTCTTTTTACAGCTTCCTTGAGCAAAGTTAACAAATGCCAAAATAACTCGAATAAGTGACTGCATGGGTATATTCTGTTGCATAATTCTGTAACTAACAATTTTTGAGTGTTGTTTTGTTGTTCTTGGCCCAAAAGAAAGCCTCCAAATCCCAAATTCCTGTCTCATCTTACGCATTTTCTTCAGCTCAACTCCTGTTGGAAAGGAATGAAGTGAAAATACTAAAACCACACTGCCATCTCCTTCACTCATTCCTTTTGTTTGTTTCCTGACCTTAGCAGACATGATGGAAAGGAACTTCTGAAGGACATGATGGAGGAAAGGCAAGTCCAGGAAGGGCCAGGCCACAGCGTCAGGAGACAGACTGGACCTGGCTTTCCTTACAGCTGCCTGTCCACCATCCTGCAGCAACAGGTCTGAATTATCTTTCATTTTTGTATGACACACGGAAAAATTTGAACATATGGAGAATCATTGCTATTGTTTTTTTTTTTTTAAAAAAACAAAGTCAATAAACAAACAGAGAAAAATCGAATCAGAAAAACCAGGCAGGCATTTGGGATTCATGGGGCATGGCCCTCAGGCAGTGACAGATTCATGCCTTACACTTCTGAGACAGATCTTTTACAATTGCAGTTACAGACTGTACATTAAAGTGCAGCATAAAATATTAAAAGACTGGTTCTAAAAATATATCATCTCCTATAACTTAGGAAATAATTTAGTTGAGTAAAAACAGTTCGCGGACTGTGTGTGGAGTCTGATTGCAGTGTGAGACCAGAGCTCACGGCTGCTCCGCGCGGTATAACCAGCATCAGAGGAGGATACCATAGAAAGTTGCGTGAATTCTCTGCACGAATGGTTTTTAAGTGATCTAGCATCAGAATACAGAGCTCTTAAAATTCACAACTAAAAGCCTGGTAAGCAAACACATGTCTCATTAGACACTTCAGTTCTACTTGGTAAACAGGTAAGTAAATGTGCAGGAGAAATAACAGTATTGAATTATAGCAGCAAAACTGGTCTTAGGTGTTGTGCACAATATAAAACCAAGGACAATTTAGAGTCTCCACAGAGTAAGATTTAGTAAGAAGAAAATGGCCTGGCACCAAGACTACATATTCTTCTCTCTGTCAGAGTACATGCCTATCATGCAGGAACATTTTGGATTAAATCTCAGTCTTCTAGATATAAATTGAAAGTAGTCACCAATGATTAGCTAGGCCAGCTAACATAAAGAAATTCAGTATTAGCTACACACAATGAGTGATTCTTAGAAATGAGTTATAGTAACACTGGTGATTAGTTAAGGAGGAAGAAAGTAAATACAGAGTGTAACAGCAATGAAATATAAGTGTTAAAAGCACTTCATACAAAAATACATCAAAAGTTGGTTAAAAAAGTCAGATGCAGGCACTTAAATTTGTAGAGGCACCCTGCCAAGGGACCCAGCGAAGACACAGCGGTGGCACTCATTTGGAATCGCTCATTTTATCCAAGAGTGTTTCTGGAATAACCAAACAAAACAATTTAAATGGAAGTCATGCAACATTTGTTGTCAAAAGTACTATGTTCTGCATAACAAAGGGCATGAATTGAGCAAAAGGTTGGATTTCTGTGACTAGTTAACTAAATCAAATGCCATTTACGAGGCTCTTGGTTACTACAAGTACTATAAAACTGAACAGTATACAAAAATAAAAATTAACTATGTACCCCAAGTAATAATTTTCCAAATTCCATAAAGCTTCAAAAAGACAACAGCAAGAGCATGGTGCTGGTGGCACATACCTGTAATCCTAGCTACTCAGGAGGCTGAGATCTGAAGATTACAACTGAAAGACAGCCCGGACAGGAAGGTCCATGAGACACTGATCTCCAGTCCACCAAACAGCCAGAAATGGAGCTGCGGCTCAAGTGGTAGAGGGCTAGCCTTGAGCAAAAAAGCTCAGGGACAGTGCCCAGGCCCCAAGTGCAAGCCCCAGGACACGAGGACGGATGGATGGACACACGCGCACACACATACGTGCCCCCCCCCCCCCCCCGAGCAAGATCTGTGATGAGGGAGGTCTACCTTTCCCTCTTGTTCAAATGAACCTTGTTCAGGAGCTGCGTCTTTTCAAGTCTGGTTAAGCATAACCCATTTCTGTAGCCTCCCCATCCATCACTAGAGATAAGACTGAAGGCAAAAAAAGCATTTTTGACTCTTGTAGCACCAGAAATGCGGACTAACCACACAGCTTCTGGACTTCTCAGTTGCTAGGGAAGTACTAGGGTTTGAACTCAGGGCCTTAACATTTCCTAGCCAAGCAGTGTTATTACTTGAATCCTAACGGCAGCCTTTTTTTGGCTGTATTTTTGGCTAAGATCTGGCAGGTTAGCCAGAGGCTGGCCTCATACTGCAGTCCCCTGATCTTGGCCTCTTGAGTTGCTGGGATTACAGGCATGAGCTACTTACTGGGGTTCTCTCCCTTTGGGACTCTTCCAAGGTTCCCATGTGATGCTGAAATGAAATCAACATGGACCAGGTAGGGCTAAATGGACATTCCCTTTTTACTATTAAACAGTATATCAGAGTTTGTTTTTTTTTTCCCCCCTTGTCGGTCTTGGGGCTTGAACTCTGGGCCTGGGGACTATCCCTGAGCTCTTCAGCTCAAGGCGAGCGCTCTACTGTTTGAGCTATGGTTTTCTAGTGGTTAATTGGAGATAAGAGTCTCATGGACTTTTCTGCCCGGGCTGGCTTTAAGCCGTAATCCTGAGATCTCAGCCTCCTCAGTAGCTAGGATTACAGAAGTGAGCCACCAGCGCCCCACTATACATCAGAGTTTTAAAAAGTCTTTTTACCTATACAGCTATATAACAAATACCTTCCTGAGTAAGCTGTACCAGGGCAAGGGTGCTATTTTGGTAAACATGATTAGTTCTGAGTTCCTGGTTCTCCAGGTTCCTTTCAAGCAGGTAGGCCAGGGCATACCAAGTCAGAAATCTATGTAATTCACTAATTACCACTTGTTGTAGCAGAGCTACCCAGAGGCCTGGAAGTCAGTGGTCTACACAGCAAGGTGATTCTGATACATTAATCTGGAATTATTTATCTTTGTGGCATATTGACGTCTGATTAATTAACAAAAGCTGTTTTAAAAACCTCTCTTCATAGGTAATTTCAACATTAACAAATTTTCATCTGTATGGCTAAAGAAAGTATTTAAATTTTTTCTTCTAAAACTTTTCTTCTGACATTGGTTTCTTTAGTCTCATTTTCTCATGGAAACCTTGGATAGTAAGTATGGAAGGGATTGGGCTCCTTAGCTCCTATATGTAAGCTAACAAAGAACAAACATCCGGGCTGGGAATGTGGCTTAGTGGTAGAATGCTTCCCTAGCATACATGAAGCCCTGGGTTCGATTCCTCAGTCCCACATACACAGAAAAAGTTTGAAGTGGTGCTGTGGCTCAAGTGGTAGCGTGTTAGCCTTGAGCATAAAAAGAAGCTCAAGGACAGTGCCCAGGCCCTGGGTTTAAGCCCCAGGATTAAATATCTTTGCTAGACAGTAGGTGGCAGTGGAGAGTGGGCTTCTCATTTCTCTCTCTCATTTAAAGCTAGTGATGTGGCTAATGACAGAGTTTCTGGTCAAAAACAGGAGACATAATAAAGCTTAAGGCAAAGGAGCCTGTCTGATTCTAGGCAAGCTGATCATGAGATTCCTAGAGCTAGCAGTCAGCTCCTTGGCTTACCAACACACAAGGATCGCCTCACACGTGATGCCCCAGGGCCCCGCTGTCACTGTCACCACCCTGCATCTGCATCTGCATCTGCGCCTGCATCCTGGCAATCATTTCCTGCATGCGGCGGAGCTGTGGACACAGTACACATGCAGTCAAACATCAAGTCCATAGTTGTCTCTGAACATCACTTACGAATGTTCTGTGTTTTCTCAAACAAATCAACATGTTAAAATGCAAAGTACTTTAAGAAACCAACAAAAATGACCAGTAGCTCATTGATATAAACAATTGATATAAACAATTCAAATAAGACAAAAGAATTACCAATAAACAGAAGGAATAACTGAAGAAAAATAAAGACAATGAGATATTCTCTTTAGCCTAAAAGGCAATAAAGAGAAGGATGTCATCCAGTAGAGAATAGGAATGAGACAGATTTTCTGGAAGACAATGAAATCAATGTTTTCCCACCATGATCCTCACCAGTTTTCATCACGATGGTACCCAAGTAAGGATTACAAAATGCTTACACAATTTTTCTTCAGGTAACTGAGGTTTTAATACTTAAACATTCCATTTAAGCTACATTTAGCTGATCAGGCCAAAGAAGGGAGTTTTTGTTTAAAAAAAAAGTGGGTCCACTGTGATCTTATTACCAGACTCTCTAGCAGGCATGAAAGCATGTCTGTTCTATTTTAGATAGTAACTTGGGTGAGCCCTTTTCTCATTTGTTTGTAAGACCTCCTTGTTTTCCCATGCTTATTTCTTAAAAACAAAACAAAACCCAATTACTTTATCAAGTGCTCACCTAGGAAAGCTCAATAAATACAACTGCTGGGACATTGTAGTTGCATTAAATTTAGAGATTTAGAAGTCTGTGATCCTTGTATGGACTCTTGTCACATACAAGTATGCCTGATCTATCATCATCGTCATCACTTTTTTGTTGGTCGTGAGGCTTGAACTCTGGGCCTGGGCGCTGTCCCTCAGCTCTTCAGCCCAAGGCTAGCACTCTACTACTTGAGCCTCAGCACTACTAATGGTTTTTTAGTGATTAATAATTAGAGATAAAGAGTCTCATAGACTTTTTTGCCTGGGCTGGCTTTGAACCGCAGTCCTCAGATCTCAGCCTCCTGATTATAGTTAGGATTACAGGCGTGAGCCACAGGCATCCAGCTTATCATGAGATCTTTTTATAGTGGAGTTTAATCATTTCTTTCCTGTTGTAAGTTCTACATATTTCTTCTCAAATTTTGATAATAATGTAAGGGGTAGTTTCATTGTATTTTCCAGTTGGTTACTGTCTACCTATGGGAGAAATGATCTTTGGACCTTTTATAAAAATCACGTTACTAAATTCAGTTTCGAAGTTTCCAAGCTAAATTGTTACTGGAGATTAAATGAGAAAAAACATGTACACATGCACACTATTACAGTATAGACACATACACAACTTTGAAAACATTAGAAAAAAATCAGGGGGGGGGGAACCCTGCAATAAGCTAATTACAAACAGTTTTAGAAACCAAATGGCTTTAGTCATAAAAACAGTCCTTTTGTACTTACCTCAGCCTCCTTTTCCAGCAAGATCTGGTCCTTATTCATGTCCTCATTCTCCACTTTCCTGAAATTACAATTGCAATGTGGTAAGTAATTTCTAACTATAGATAACCAAATAAAAATTTTCTTAAAATTCACAGAAACATCTATTTAAAATTATATATTTGTCATTTTTCTAATTAAAGACATGATAAACAAGAGAACAGGATGAGGGGCTGGGAAGGTGGCTCATTGGTAGAGTGCTTGCCTTGCAGGCATGAGGCTCTGGGTTTGATCCTCAGTATCACATAAGCAGAAAAAGATGGAAGGTGCTGTGACTCAAGTGGCAGAGTGCTCACCTTGAGCTGAAGAGCCGAGGGACAGCGCCCAAGCCCAGAGTTCAGGCCCCACGACTGGCAAAAGAGAGAGAGAGAGAGAGGGAGGGAGGGGGGGGGAGAGGGGCGGAAAGAGAGACAGAGAAAAAGAGAGTGGGGGGAAGGATGAAGAAAAAGGACAAATATGGAATGGTAAGTGGTTGTTTTACACTAGGATGAGTGTCTTTACTGAAAAACAGCGAGTCTGGCCTGAAGAGAGCTCTTGATCTGACTGAAGTGACTTTCAAACAGATAACTCGTCACATTTGAAGGAGAGAGCCCAGCACAAGAGGCTGGAGAAAGCTCCTTAAGCACACAGACAACACTGGCTCTTCGGGCATGAGGATTCATCGACCTTTTTACTTCTACAACCTATCAGTTTACCATAAATATGACGAGCAAAACAAGTTAGAATTCAACGTGTACTTCTACTAAGTACACATATCTAGCAAGTTATCAAACTGTAATTTTTCTTTGTTTAGGGCCTCACTTGGTTTGCTTGCTCCCAGCTGACACGCTACCACTTACCTGAGCTAACCCTCCAGTCTGGTATGTGTTGCTCATTAACTGGAGATAGTTTCTTATACTTTTGTGCTAGGGCTGATTTTGAATCACCACCTGGCAGGTCTCAGCCTCCTGAATAGCTAGGATTAAGGGCATGCGCCACCAGCACTCAGAATGATTTTTTTTTTTTTTGCCGGTCGTGGGGCCTGAACTCTGGGCCTGGGCGCTGTCTCTTGGTTCTTCAGCTCAAGGCTAGCGCTCTACCACTTGAGCCACTTTTAGCTTTTTCTGCCTATGTGGTGCTGAGGAATCAAACCCAGGGCCTCATGCATGCAAGGCAAGCACTCTACCACTGAGCAACCTTCCCAGCTCCCTAAAATGACATTTTAAAACTATATATAATGAACTTCAATAATGAATGCGTATGCCACTATTCATTCACTAAGCTCTATTCTAAGCACAGATAGGATTTTATCAGGTAGAGATTGTATCACAGATCTCATATAAAAATATATTAGGGGGGGCTGGGAAGGTGGCTCAGTGGTGGAGCACTTGCCTTGCATGCATGAGGCCCTGGGTTCTATTCCCCAGCACCACATAAGCAAAAAAAAAATATATTAGGATGGCAAAAAAAGAAAAGAAAAAAAAGGTGAGGACAGCTTCAGGAGTCTGCAGAGAGCAGAGCTCATGCTCCATTGGCATTTATCATGGGCACACCACCCTTAACTACAGTTTTTCAGTCTGTTCTCATGTACACAGTGACTCTTAATTTTTTAATGTTTTTTTTTGTCGGTTGTGGGGCTTGAACTCTGGGCCTGAGTGCTGTCCCTCAGCTCTTCAGCTCAAGGCGAGCGCTCTACTACTTGAGCTACAGCGCCACTTCCGGTTTTCTGGTGGTTTACTGGAGATCAGAGTCTCACAGTCTTTCCTGCCCGGGCTGGCTTTGAACCGCGATCCTCAGATCTCAGCCTCCTGAGTAGCTAGGATTACAGGCGTGAGCCACCAGCGCCCGGCTTTTTAAGTGGTTTTTTGGTGCTCCATCTGGTGCCTGAACTCAGGGCCTGAGTGCTGTCCCTGAGCATTTGCTCAAGTCTAGCACTGTACCATTCAAGCCACAGCTCTACTTCCAGCTTTTTTTGTAGTTAATTATAGTTCAGAGTCATAAAAATTCCTGCCCTGAACTGTAATCTTGACATCTCTGCCTCCTGAGTAGCTAGAATTACAGGCAACGCCACTGGCGCCTGGCCCAGAGTGACATTTTTGAAGCACTAAAACAAGCCTCTAGCCTTTTCACCTGAGCTGTTCTTTATATACAAATGATAAAACCCTTTTTTAAGGCAAGAAAAGAAAGGTTTGGTTAGGTTAATAGCAACGCTCTTATAAAAGCCTGAGTAGGGAGTGTATTTCCTTGGTGGGCAAGACAACTAAGCTGTGTGCACAAAGGAGGGAGAAGGGAAACCTGTGACTACCTGCCACCTCTCTTGAGCCTCTCAGAACGGAAGTTTTCATAGTGAAGGTCCTGTGTCACTTCCTGGAGGTCTTGCATATGGGTGCTGAAAAAGAAGAAATTCACCAAATCGGCTGCATGAAGGCACCATGTGCGTAGGAAAAAACCTCAACTAGTTCAGAACACAGAAAACACCAATACCAAGAACCCCACTGAGTATCTTACATGAGCATTGTTCTCAGCTTCAGAAAGTCATTGTGCTCTGGGTTCTCGACCTCCACAACACCCCAAGGATAGAGGCGCCCTCTGACCTTCTTGCCTTTAGCTTCAATCAACTGGTTGGATCCAACTACAGAGAATGGGATACTGGCCTAGAAAGGAATACAAGTTAAAACAGGCTCCACACAGAAGCACCAATGCTCACCGTGAAAACAATGGTATCAACAAAGATTTAGGTCGTTGGTGTTTAGTACAAAGCTTAGTTGAGAGCTACGGACACCTACATTTCACTTGGAAGAATCAGATATTTTCTACATGAGAATAACTGGAAGTAGACCTGCAGTGTTTTTAAGTCTTAAGTGAGAACTATCTGAATATATTTAAATCAAAACACTATTGTAATTGAACCTTCCCTGGCAATCTGAGCCCTCTAGAATGTAGGAACAGAGAACAGGAATTATTATTATTTTTTTTTTTTGTCGGTCGTGGGGCTTGAACTCTGGGCCTGGGTGCTGTCCTTCAGCTCTTCAGCTCAAGGCTAGCGCTCCACCACTTGAGCTACAGTGCCACTTCTGGTTTTCTGGTGGTTTATTGGAGATAGGAGTCTCACAGTCTCTCCTGCCCGGGCTGGCTTTGAACCGTGATCCTCAGATCTCAGCATCCTGAGTAGCTTGGATTACAGGCGTGAGCCACCAGCGCCCAGCGAGAACAGGAATTATTTAGAGCCAGTTCTTACCTTGAGCAGTCTAGTCTGCTCTTTAAAATCTTCATCTTCATCTGATTCTGCATCAGGTAAATGATAGATTTTAATGCTATGTTCTTCAATTTCATCCAAAATCTGAAAAATCCAGAATCAACTTTAGCAATATATCAGAATTACCCGAATACCAGTAAAGAGTCAACTTGATTATAGTTATTTTCAAATGATTTTATAAAATACAAAAATGCCTTTGTGCTTGAATTGAGAGCTTTTCTGACTGTAAGATGGATATTAGCAATGATACCCCCACTTTCAACGTACAAGCAGTAAGACTAAGGATAAACAGAAGAACATGTGTTAAGACTAGGCTACAGAGAAAACTAATGCATACGGAGTTCCTTAACAGCAGACAAGAATGTAAGTAGAGAAAGAAACTGTACCTTAGATGGGAAAAAGAAAAAAAAGAATTCTCTTGAAAGGCATGGATGAAAGAAGTGTGTCCTGGGGCTACCAAGATATGCAGGAGGCGGCACCGTCGAAGACATCCAGGCTTTTGTTTTGTTTTTGAGATAGGGTCTTACTATGAAGTCCAGACTAGCTTCCAACTTGTGATCTTGCCTCCATCCCCCTAGTTGCAGGGATTATAAGTATAAAACACCATGCCTCACCCCAAGACTATCTTTAAGACATCTGGTTGGAAGTAAGAATACACACTGGTGTTACCTTGTGGAGAGTTATCTGGATCTAATAGCAAGTAACTAAACGTGAAATCATACAATTTAAAAAAATCTACCAACTAGGCCGAGAAGAGGTGTAGAAAGAAAACAAAACAAAAAATGACCTGGAGCTGATCTAAGCAGCTATTCATTATGGCCCCCCTCAGTGGCCACAGCGAACAGTAGGTGTTAGATGCACAAGCAGACTAGAAGTTGTTTGCTCTCACTGGAATCCACACCACCTCTCCACAGTGAGCAGGTTCAGTGCTCAAGGAACATTCAGCCTCAAGGTTGTACCATCCTGGCTCCTGGTCATAAGGACAGACCTTCTGTGTTCTCCAAACCAAACACTGTGATCCCAACATGTATGTCCAAAAGGGCCTGCCTCTCCATACCCTTTACTTTGAAGCTAACTTTATTTTTAAATAAATCTTTATTCCAGGATTGCAGGAGCAGTCTCATCCCTGGGCCCAAGTATTTCCTAAGAAATGGTCTCATCCTTGAGCAGTGTAGTTCACATGAACTACATGTGAACTTGGAATATAAAAGCAGAAGCCACAGAGATGAAAGGTGTCAAAGCAGTATCAAAATCTCCAGGGGGCAAGCAAGGCAAATAGGCAGTGAAATACACAGTGGGGAAAGCAAGAGGAGGGGAAGAATTGCTAATCATGGCAAACACAAGTGAGCAGTAGTCTGAGGACAGAACTATGGGCCATGCCCGGATCACAGCAGCAGCAGGTGGATGGTAAATTTAGGCAGAATAAAAGAGATCATGAAAAGCAGCGGCTTCTGAGTGCACGACAGGGTCTGAAAAAGGCTTATAAAAGGTCCACAGGGGCCGGGCGCTGGTGGCTCACGCCTGTAATCCTAGCTACTCAGGAGGCTGAGATCTGAGGATCGCGGTTCAAAGCCAGCCCGGGCAGGAAAGACTGTGAGACTCCTATCTCCAATAAAACACCAGAAAACCGGAAGTGGCGCTGTGGCTCAAGTGGTAGAGCGCTTGCCTTGAGCTGAAGGACAGCGCCCAGACCCAGAGTTCAAGCCCCACGACCGACAAAAAATAAATAAATAAATAAAAGGTCCACAGGGAAGATCTAGCGAGTGAGTGGTTTCAAAATTAAGTCATCTCAGACAGATATTGTAGCCTAAAGTTTTAGATTACCTCAATGAGACTGAATATAAGAATACAAAAAAGGTGATATTTCCTTAAGCCGAACAGAGTAAATAAACCTTATCAAGTATTAAAATGTCTAAGATGGGGCTGGGAAGGTGGCTCAGTAGTAAACTGCTTGCCTTGCATGCATGAGGCCTTGGGTTCGATTCCTCAGCACCACATAAGCAGAAAAAGCTGGAAGTTGGGCTGAGGCTCAAGTGGTAGAGCACTAGCCTTGAGCTGAAGAACTGAGGGACAGCGCCCAGACCCAGAGTTCAGGCCCCATGACTGACAAAAAAAAAAAGTCTAAGCTTTATTCTAAGAACCTAATTATCTCCTAAAAAGAAAAAAACAACAACAAACAAAAAATTTGGTAAGGCAATTCATATGACAAAGAAAATGGCTGACAAATACTATTAGATACAGCTTTGAAATTACCGTAACAAAAAATATACCAAGACACATGAAAATACAAAAGTGAAATAAGGAAATATCTGCAACATGATGTCTTCAGAACTGAAAGATTTACCTGCAATTAAAGCAATAAGGAAACATCAACGGCATCGTACACTAGGACACTCACCTGGATTCAATAAAATGCAAATTAAAAGATCTAATTTCTGAAAGTGGGCAAAACAAAAGTTTGGTATCCTATTCAGGATAATTTGTATGACTAGAGAGCAAAAGATGCTCTGAGAAAGTAAATTATTTCTTACAAGCTTACTTGGGAAATTTAGCCATCTTTCAAAAGTTTAATTTCCTTCATAAGAATTCATCTGATTTATTACATTGAGAGAAAACGTACCATTATATGACTTATTCAACAAAGGCCAGATGCAGTGTCACATTCTTATAATTACTCAAACCCAGCTGAGGCAAACTGTAAGACCTCCATCTATATCAGTAAAGCAGGTATAATGGAGAATGACTGACCTGCTATGTTGGTGGATGTGAGTGAGAGAACTATGGTTTGAGGCTGGCCCCTGGCAAAACAGGAGACTCTACCTAGAAAATAGCTAATTCAAAAAATGGGCAGAGTATCTAAAGTGATTAGAAGGCCTGCTTATCAAGTATGAAGCTCTTAGTTTAATCTCTCATACTAGAGGAAAAAAAATAATTCAACATTACTAAATTCCTACTCTTTGCCACATAATATTCTCAACTCTTAAACATACTTTATATATGTTAGGGAGTGCCACAAGAAGGGTACAGGAGAAGGGCTTGGGTCTAAGACCATGCAATTACCATCAGATTCAGGTATCTTGTGGGGAGAATGTTCTAGGCAGACATGACTAGCAAAACTGTGCTAATGTAGGAATTTATCTGGTCTGATAGCAAAATACAAAGTAACAGGAAATCTGGTCCAAAAGGGAACCAGAACAAAACAAAACAATAAGCCAAATATCCATCAAGAGAGAACTAGAAATATAAACTACCACATATTCATTCAATGGAATAGTGTGTCCAATAAGAGTCAAGGACGAGAGGCTGGGAAGGTGGCTCAGTGGTAGAGCGCTTGCCTTGCATGCCTGAGGCCCTGGGTTTGATTCCCCAGCACCACATAAGCAAAAAGAAAAAAAAGCTGGAAGTAGCGCTGTGGTTCAAGTGGTAGAGCGCTAGCCTTGAGCTGAAGAGCTGAGGGACAGCACCCAGGCCCAGAGTTCAGGCCCCAAGACCGGAAAAAAAAAAAAAAAAGAATCAAGGACGAAGTCTGGAGCCAGTGGCTCACGCCTGTAATTCTAGCTATTCAGAAGGCTGAGATCTGAGGATCACAGTTCAAAGTTAGCCAAGGCAGGAAAGTCCCTGAGACTCTTATCCGCAATTAGCCACCAAAAATCCTGAAGTGGAGTTATGGCTCAAGTGATAAGAGTGCTAGCTTTGAGTTCAAGCCAAAGTACTGGCATCAAATAACAACAACAACAGCAACAAAAAATGTTGCAAGCTATATGTAGTGAAGTTTAAATTTTTTTAAACCAAAAACATGATCTCATTTACTGATATTGTTACAGATAATACCCTTACAATACCTAACACTTGTTTCTGTGGGTCATTAAAAGAACTTGTTAACTGGACTTTAAAGCACAAAGTAAGAAAAAGATAAAATACTTCTTAAAAATAAAGAAGCCTGCCGGGTGCTGGTGGCTCACGCCTGTAATCCTAGCTACTCAGGAGGCTGAGATCTGAGGATCGCGGTTCAAAGCCAGGCCGGGCAGGAGAGACCGTGAGACTCCTATCTCCAACAAACCACCAGAAAACCGGAAGTGACGCTGTAGCTCAAGTGGTAGAGCGCTCGCCTTGAGCTGAAGAGCTGAGGGACAGTGCCCAGGCCCAGAGTTCAAGCCCCACAACCAAAAAAAAAAAAGCCTGCCAGGTACCAGTGGCTCATGCCTGTAATCCTAGCAACTCATCAGGAGGCTGAGATGTCTGCATCACAGAGCAAAAGCCAGCTCAGGTAGGAAAGTCCTTAGACTCTTATCTATAATTAACCAAAAAGTTGTAGAAGTAGAGCTGTGGCTCAAGTGGTAAGCCACTAGCCTTGAACAAAAAATGTCAGAAACAGCACCTGGGCCAGCACAAAAATAAAACAAAAATAGAAAAAAAGCTTTAGAGGATACACACAGGAATAGGGTAGTAAAATAAGGTACCATAGAGACAACTAGTCAGTGTCAAGTGTAGTGGGAGGTGAGGCATACCCATCCTATGGTGGGGGGTAGGGGGGGTGGGGGGGTGGAGAGCTGGGGATGACACCGTCACAACCCAGATATAGGCAACTTAAAACTCTGAAATGGATCGCTGAAGTAATAGAACTTCAGAGACAGGTCACAATTCCACATTCATGTCATGTACCTATTACTTTTGGAATCTCTTTGCACTTAACCACCCCTATTCCTTAAGCCTAATTTGTCTAAGGAGAATTTTTAAAACAAAAATATTTCCATGCAAGCAAAAGGTAAAATATCTGTAACTATTAGGCATTCTTTGAATTCCGGTGTCAAAATACGGGACAAATTCTGCAGCCCTGGGCTGGGAAGGTGGCTCAGTGGTAGAGCGCTTGCCTTGCATGTCTGAGGCCCTGGGTTCGATTCCTCAGCACCACATAAACAAAAAGAAAAAATCAGGAATTGGCGTTGTGGCTCAAGTGGTAGAGCGCTAGCCTTGAGCTGAAGAGCTGAGGGACAGTGCCCAGGCCCAGGGTTCAGGCCCCACGACCGGACCCAAAAAAGAAGAAGAAGAAAAAAAAATTCTGCAGCCCTGCCTCCCTCATCCCTGAACAGCTTGGCCTAGCCCCTCACCCCCAACAGTTTGCTCTAGCTCCCACTCACCCTTTTCTTCAGCCGCTCCCGTTCCTTCAGAGTGAGAGTATCAGCTTTTGCGATGACAGGCACAATGTTCACCTTATTGTGTATCGCTTTCATAAATGCAACATCTAAGGGCTTCAGTCTGAAAGCAATTTTTAAATTGTCACATAAAGAACAAAGAAGTCATTCATTGTTTTCCTTAAATCATCTCAGTTCTTCTATTGCAATAGGCAGTTTGTGGAAACTTGTAAAACATGCATAGAAAATTAGGCCCCATGGTAAGTAACTGACTTACCCATGTCCAAAAGGTGAAATGAAGTAGAAGCAACAATGCACCCTGTTATCAATGATATGTCGCCTGTTCAAGCCACTCTCATCATGCAGATAGCGTTCAAACTGCTCATCAATATATGAGATAATTGTCTTAAAACTGAAACACAAATGTCAACAGTAATTATAGGGTACAAAGACTGGTAGTCCCTAATTTCAGAAGGAAAACACATTTTTCTCTCCTTTCCCACTGAACATATATAATTCCTCAATCTGATAAAATGGACATTTTCTGGGAACTATGCCAAGTTAAAGAACTTTCCTCAAATGCTGGGAATGCAACTGTCAGGTGCAAGGGGTGCCGGCCTCCTGTCCAGAGGATGACACGCAGGGGGGGCACAGATCTAAGGAAGACAGGCAAGCTGCCAGCGGGACAGCACTTCAGTGACCTCGGGCAAGGAGCCTCCTGACACAGGAGAAAGGACCTTTCCAGAATCCAGTACTACAAAACCAATGCTTATGCTTATAGATCAGAACAAGAAAGGAATCTGCACAGGACGAGTGAGAGGCAATAGGCAGCTCTACGTTCTACTCGTGAAAATTATGCCAACAGTCACTTTACTTCCTCCCACAGAAGGCACATACTACTGACCATCTTGTTCAATGCCAAGGGTTCAAACTGAAGTGTTTGTAGTATTTATAGCCTATGGATGGCTGACTTTGCAATCTTAAGATCTCATTAGAGGGCTCTCAAAGACAAAATACTCTCTATAGAAGCTCTTATTTCCAAAGGCTGGTATGCAGTTAGCCCAATCTGTATCTAAGTCACTTACTAGCAGAAAGCAGCAATTGAAATATATTAGCATAAATGAACATCAATACACACAGTCCCTGGTGCTGTGGCTGCGTACCAGTCCCTGCAGTTGATGGCATCCCCGTAGCCAGGGGTATCTACGACCGTGAGGCGTAGCTTGACTCCCCGCTCTTCAATTTCAACAGTTGAAGCCTCAATCTGGACAGTTCTTTCAATTTTCTCTAAGAAAGGAACAAAAGTTAACAGCAACTGTATCTTATAATTAAGCCTCATACAAAGAGAAGACATTACCTGTTACGGATGTTTCTACAAATACTTGACCTGGAAGGTTCTCAGGAACTAGCATGGATTGTTTAAAATCACCCCAGAGTTAGTAAAAGAAATGTCAATGGTAAAATTCGTGTGCTGCTTGGGAAGTTAAAAACTGTCATATAAGCTGTGTACTGGTGGCACATTCCTGTAATTCTAGCTACTCAGGAGGCTAAGGATTGCAGTTCAAAGCCAGCCAGGGCAGGAAAGTCCATGAGACTCATCTCCAATTAACCACCAGAAAACAGGAAGTGGTGCTGTAGCTCAAGTGGTAGAGCACTAGCCTCAAAAAAAACAAATTAGGAATTCATTTAGAAATTGAATTTAAAAACACTAGTGAAAAAGTGGTCTAAGACTTTCCAGTGTTTATGGATGCTGGTGTCCTCCCTGGGAGCAGTCAGAACAAAGAGTAGTCAAAAATCTCTTTCTACAGTACTTGTCCACGCAGTCTTTTTAATGACATAAAATGTAGGAAGAAAATGACGATCGTTTGTAGATGAGAGGATAGATGCATGGGTTTGTGTCAAATGAGATCTGTAACCAGGAGGACCTCAGGTCCTGTGCTTTCCCCATGAAACTTATGTGTTTAAAGAAAACACAAACACAAACAAGACACAGAGCTATGCCATGTTATCAATTATATGCACAGCAGCATTTTTTGTTTACCTGCAGCTCCAGGTATAATCCTTTCCGGGTAGAGATCAGTCAGGAATAGACTGTTGATGAGAGTTGATTTTCCTAGACCGGATTCACCTTTAAATGAAAACAAAAGCCTTGTCATGACCTTCCCTGCATCTGTCCAATCATGGAATAATTACTTCAGGCTGGGGCTTGGGATAAGTACCTCATAAAAACAGTATGCTGTGTACTTTGTACAATGACTACGGGAGTCTTGCATGAACCACTGGCACACAGCCCCTTCTTTCTTCAGTGGTACTGGAGTTTGAACTTGGGGCTCCTGCTTGCTCTCTCTACAAGTTACCTATAGCCCTTTTTGCTTCAATTAGATAGGGTCTGAGGCTAGTCTGGGCACGCCTGAGATTATAGGCATATGCCACTCTGAAAGAGTATCTTTTTAAATTGTGGGTTGGCATCACACATCAATCCTATCTTTGCCTCTCCAGAAGCGGGGATCCAAGGTACATACCACCACATCTAGCTATCTTTATTTCTGGTATTTCAGTAAAGACTGCTTTGTTTTTAATGTAGCTACTTCAGCTTCTTAGGACTGGTTCTTGTAACTTCTGTTTTCACTTATCTATTTCCAGGTTTTCTCAATTGTATGATTACCAAAAACATAGACTGATGGCCCTGTACTTAAATGTCACTGTGGTCATTTGCTGGTTTCCATAAAACATAACTATTGTAGAAGACTCTTCACAAATATGCTCTGAACACAAAAATGTAAACAGAAATGACCAACAATACAGTGTTCTTTCAGACATAATCCTCTTATAATTAACACTTGCCAGAAAGTGGATTTTGTCACTATTTATCATTACACCAGACTCCCACAGGCCAACTACCACATGCATAAGGACATACTGTGAAGGCCATAAGACATTTCAAACAGTTTTCTATATTTTAACTATGAAGGTTAGTTACCACAGTCCAACTTGCTTTGAACAAGAATTATGCCCATTCAATCAGTCTCTTAACATCTTTCTGGACCCATTCATTTGCAGACAGGAGGAGAAACTGTAGTCAGATTCTTCAAATCATGTGGGTCATATGCTGCTCAGTTTTTAAGATAAGCGGAGTGACTCACAGGAGGGCCCTGAAGATGAGCAAGTTCCATAAAGAGGAACACATGTCCTTGCTCATCTTCTCTATCATCTCCTCTGGGTCCAGCTTCGTGGCAAGACCCTCGATCTGCTCCAACACTGCCTGTGGTCACCTCTCCTCTGTGGTGGCCACTCTGTACTGAGAACTCCTGTTCTTATTTTTATTGACATTTTTCTGTTTCTATGCTGTTTTCCTTATATACAAGGTCATTTTCCATTCTCATAAATTTTGAAATTTACTTGTAGTACTTACCTAGCTCATTTAAATAACACTCTGTCATTTAACGTGTTTAGAGTAAGCAATATTATTTCTGTATCCTTTTATTTTGAATAATTATCTTTGAAAAAACTAAATGTAAGTTTCTGTATTTATACACTTGCCATTTCCATGCTTTCTACTCCTTAATGAAGGCCAAATTTCCATTTGAAACCTCTTTCTTCCAACCTAAAGAACTTCACGTGGTACAGAACCAACAACATCCTCTAGGCTCACTCTGCTTTATCTTCATAGAAGGAACCAGTGAAGAACACAGAGTCTAGGCTGACGGCTGTTTCCAAGCTCCCTTGAAGAACAAACGATTCTTAATGCATCTCATTTTGGATCCTCCATAAGCAATGATTTCCTTTCTTGTTCTGGTTACTTTTCTGACTACTGATCTGTGCCTATCACCAGTCTGATTATGTGCCTTTGTTATGCTTTTCTCTGCTGTATTCTGCTTAGCTTGTTTCATTACTGGCTTGGGCCAATTTGTTGTAATGCGCCTTGTAATGTTTTGAAAAAAAATTTTGGTATTAAAAAATATTTGTCTTGGGGCTGGGAAGGTGGCTCAGTGGTAGAGCGCTTGCCTTGCATGACTGAGGCCCTGGGTTTGATTCCCCAGCACCACATAAGCAAAAAGAAAAAAGCTGGAAGTGGCGCTGTGGCTCAAGTGGTAGAGCACCAGCCTTGAGCTGAAGAGCTGAGGGACAGCGCCCAGGCCCAGAGTTCAGGCCCCACGACCGGACCCCCCCCCCAAAAAAAATATATTTGTCTTGTTGGACAACACTTGAAGACCTGTCCATTTATCATTTTCACATTTCTTTTCCTCTTCCTCGTGCCATTTTCTATATATAAAACTAGTTATCTGGGGGCTGGTGGCTCACACCTGTCATCTTAATAGCTACTCAGGAGGCTGAGATCAGAGGACCAAGGTTCAAAGCCAGCACAGGCAGGAAAGTCCGTGAGACATTCTTATCTCCACTAAACCAAGAGAAAACTGGAAGTGGCACTGTAGCTCAAGTGGTAGAGCGCTTGTCTTGAGCTGGAGAGTGCAGGGACAGCACCCAGGCCCAGAGTTCAAGCCCAACGACAGACACCCCCCCCCCAAAAAAAAAGATTGGTTAAAATATACCATAAGCTAATGAGGCTAAAATGTATTCTTCATTGAGCTATTTCCATTTTGTGCTTTAACTACTTCTATTACTCTTTCCTTTATAGTATATAATCTGTTGTTAAGACTACCTTGAATTTTTCATTTCAGAGGTTACTAATTTATCTCTTGAGGTTTCATCTGGTTCTTTTGCACATCTGTAGATAATTTCATTGTAGTCATGGTTTCAAATATAGAGCATACTTTCAGAGTTTTAAATGCTTTCATTTAAATCATAGTTTTTGTCTGTCACTTCTCCCATCTTTGACATTTTCTCGTGATTATGCAGAGTATTTCTTTTCTTCTTTGATATTCAATAGTATCTCTTTTGGCTGGATGCTGGATATTGTTAATGCTACACTGAGAATGCCTGGATACTAACAGTCTTTCCTTTTCTTTTGACACATAGTCCTAGCTCTTTTTTTTTTTTGGGGGGGGGGTCAGTCATGGGGCTTGAACTCTGGGCTTGGGTGAGCTGTTCCTCAGCTCTTCAGCTCAATGCAAGCACTACCACTTGAGCCACAGCGCCACTTCCTGTTTTCTGGTGGTTAACTGGAGATAAGAATCTCACGGAGTTACATGCTCAGGCTGGCTCTGAACTGTGATCCTCAGAACTCAGCCTCCTGAGTAGCTAGGATTACAGGCTTGAGCACCTGGCTACTGCTAGCTCTTTTGAAAATGTTTCAAAACAAGAGAACAGTGCATTTCAAGACTAAGGCTGGCCTCAAATGCACAATCCTCCTGCCTTACCCTCCTCTGGCACTGAGACTTACAGAAGTATGCCACTATACCTAGCTAATCTTTGATATATAACTTTACAAATTATGTTAAGGAAAGCTTACAATAATCTATCTAGATTAGATCTACTCCCAAACAAGAATACTTTCACTCTCCTAAGTGCGCTGGGTGTTCAAAAGTTTTCTCTGGTTGTCTGAAGCTACCCAGCTCTGTGTAATGTCCAGTCACGTTGACATTCACTTTTCTTTCATAAGGATTCCATAATTTCCTACATTTGAAGTCCATTAATTATGAACCCTAAGAAATAATAATTTGTCTTTATCATTCATGCCCATCCTAAGCTTTACCAATGCCCACTTCATTATTTTCTGACAATTATGCCACTGCCAAGAATGAAATAAAATGTGACAATGTTAACAGAATAGTTCATCATTACCTTTTGTGTGGATATGCTGAAATTACACCCAGACTCACACCCACACACATGATATAACAAAAATATTCCAAGGGACTATTCAATGGACTTTAAGAAATATGTTTGGGGCAATCATATAATAAGGAGTTACTTGTTTAAAATATACCCATCATTATGATTTTAGAAGTTAATTTTTGTCTGTGTATGCCAGTCCCGGGGGCTTGAACTCAGGGGCTTAGGCACTATGCTTGGGCTGTTTTGCTCTAGGTTGGTGCTGTACAACTTGACTCACAGCCTTTTTTGGGTGGAGGTGTTAATTAGAGCTAAAGGTCTCAGGGACTTTCTTGCCCGGGCTTGGCTTTAACTATGATTCTCAGATCTCAGCTTCCTGAGTAGCTAGGATTACAGCTGTGAGCCACCAGCGACTGGTTAGGAGATAAATTTTTAAGTGACAATTCAATACAATTCTAAGCTAACATAGGGACATTATCTGTTAATACGTAACAATTACTGGACAACATAAACACCTCTCACAGATTTTGGGGGTGAGAAATACAAGAATGTCAAAAGGTAGTTCTAACTCAGGGTGGCAGTCACACTGGGGAAGCATGCCTAAGACTGGAGGACATTTGTGAAGTGTGTTATACACACAGGAACTAAGCAGGCCAAAGTTCTTTGCTTTACAGACTTCCTTATGAAGACCCTAGCAGCTGGCTTCCCTGAGTGATTCAACAGAAGATGGAAACCATACCATGTCTTAAATCCTGTCCTGGAAATCACACCGTTTCCGCAACGTCTCACTCACGTTATTTAGACTATGTCAGTGTACAAGGGGACTACCAGGTACGTGAACACGAAAAGGTCATTTGGAGACTAGCTGCCACAATGAAAAAGCCCTTTGTTACATACAAAGGGGGACACCATAGAAATGGTATTGAGCAAAAGGTTTTAAAGACTACATATATTTTTAAATTCTCAAGAAGTTTTAAAGACTACATATAGTTTTAAGTTCCCAAGATGATCTGGCCACACAAAGGAATTTTTCCCTCTCATATTATGGGTCACACTACTATATTCCACAGGTTGGGAAAGAAGGGACACCTATTTAATAAAATTGAGGATATAAATTGGTTTCTTACCAACCACCATCAGTGTGAATTCAAAACCTTTTTTCACTGATTTTCGGTGAACTTGATTGGGAAGATTTGCAAATCCAACATAGCCAGGAGTTTCTGGATTTATAAACTGAGCTGGTTGTTGCTAAAATAAGATAAAAAGGGGGGGAAAAGAGCTAAAAGGCACACTGATCACTTGAAGATATAATCAGATCTGTGACAAATTAAAAAAAATTGCATCAATCAACATTTCCAAAAAGTTACTTCTACCAGAGAATTTACAATATTCACTTGATAGCATTAAAAAAAACAGGAATTCTAATCAAATTCCTTAGCTATGTACTGGCCTAAAACTCAACATTTTGTTACTCAATATTATTTAACAGTTAACAACACACAAGTATAATTCATCTTAAAAATTTCAGATTTGGGTTTGAAATAAAGGAAGAAATAAGATTTAAAAAATTAAGGTTCCAAAGAAGTACCAAACCAACAGTAGTTTAATACAATAAACCTGGCTAAATAACCTCTAAGGGTTATTTCCTGGAAAGCATCCAGGAAAAAGTCATCTCTCTTGCTGTATTTGTAGCTCTGACCCACAAAGACTAAGACAATCAGGAGTGGCATGTTGAGATTCTAGCTTCAGAAACCAAGAACAAAAGAACAGAATGAGATGATCATAGCTACCCAGAGGGACACATCAGTACTTCTTGATGGAAAGACCTGATAATAGTGGAAATACATGGAGATCTGATCACTCATTAGTAAAAGCAAAATTACTGAAAATGAGAAATTTTAAGCCAATCAACTGACTTAATATTTCTGGGTGGTAAAATAATGGCTAATATTTACTTATTTGTGTTCTATACTAGGAAAAAAAGTGATTTTTAAAAAAATTTGGATAGTCTAAAAAAATAAAATACTAAGAGAAGTAACCTTGCAGTTTTAACCACAATTTTGGTTTTTTTTCAGCCTAATGTCCTTCACAACTAATTTATTTCAGAGCTCTGGGCCAATTTACCAGGGTTGAGCTAAACCAATTTATTAAGTCTAATAGCCACATTATTTAGCCTAATAGCCACATCATATAAATTACTACAATTTTATATTATTTGGTCAACTGAACATGATCTAAAAAGGTAAAGTGATTTTAATGCACTTAGAAAAAGCCTGAAAGAAGCCGGGCGCTGGTGGCTCACACCTGTAATCCTAGCTACTCAGGAGGCTGAGATCTGAGGATCACGGTCCAAAGCCAGCCAGGGCAACAAAGTCAATGAGACTCTATCTCCAATTAACCACCAGAAAACCGGAAGTGGTGCTGTGGCTCAAGCAATAGAGCACTAGCCTTGAGCTGAAGAGCTGAGGGATAGTGCTCAGGCCCAGAGTTCATGTCGGGAGACTGACAATCAATCAATCAGTTTCCGCACCAGTGGAAATAAAAAATTAAACAAAAAAAGAATGACAAGTATTTTAGAACTCTATCATCTGAGCTACGCTCAGGCCTTTATGCATAGGTTATTTTTAATGGTTTCACGTTTTTGCCAGGTTGGTCTTAGAACCTCATTTTCCTACCTATACCTCTGGCATAGTTAAATTGCAAATATGTCTGACCACTCAGCTTGTTCTTTGAGATAAGGTCTCACTAACTTTTTAGCCCAGATTTGCCTTGAACCACAATCCTGTCTATCTCTGTCTCCTAAGTATCTAGGATTATACTTATGAGCTACCACACCCAGGTACCTTATAAACTGTCTTAATGAATCAAATATTTATCACAAAAATCCTGATTGTAAATAGTCTGAAATAATAAAGCAATTGTCTTTATACTACAGATATATGATAAAGAATGATCTTACCTTAGACATTTTTCTTGATTGTTTTCCTCTATCTGTTACAACAAAACAAAACGCAGGGTATAAGGGGAGGCATAGAAATAGAGGGGCAAAGGGTGAAGAATTATAGTAATGGTACTTTGCACATAAATTACCACTTGCAAAAACTCCTACTTCTACCAGAGAATAGACAATATTCAGAAATAGGAATTCTAATGACATTTCTTAGCTATATATTGGCTAAAAAAAAAAAATCAACATTTGTTACTTGATACTGTTTAGCAAGTTAACAATATGTAAGTATAATTCATCTTAGAATTTTATTTTTATTTATTTTTTGGATCTGTCATGGGGCCACCTTCCCAGCCCCCTCATCTTAGAATTTTAAATTTAGGCTTGAAATAAAGGGAGAAAGAGGATTTTAAAAAATTAAGGTTTCAGGGCTTGGAAGGTGGCTCAGTGGTAGAGTGCTTGCCTTGCATGCATGAGGTCCTGGGTTCGATTCCTCAGCACCACATAAGCAAAAAGAAAAAAGCCGGAAGTGGTGTTGTGGCTCAAGTGGTAGAGCGCTAGTCTTGAGCTGAAGAGCTGAGGGACAGTGCCCAGGCCCAGAGTTCAGGCCCCACGACTGGACCAAAAAAAAAAAAATTAAGGATTCAGCCGGGCACGGAGGTTCACTCCTGTAATCCTAGCTATTCAGGACGCTGATATGTGAGTATCGTGGTTCAAAGCCAGCCTGGGCAGGAAAGTGAGACCCTTATCGCCAATTAGCCACCAGAAAACTGGAAGTGGCGCTGTGGCTCAAGTGGTAGAGCGCTAGCCTTGAGCTGAAGAGCTAAGGGACAGCGCCCAGGCTCAATGTTCAAAGCCCCATGACCGAACACACCCCCCCAAAAAAATTAAGGTTCCAAAATAGTAAACCAGACTATTTACAATTAGTAAATCTGGATACTATGTTGATAATGAGCTATAACTTGTGGAGGAGATGGGAGAGAAAAACTGGGTGAGAAAGACAGGATGAGATAGATGGTCCACAAAGAAATGTACTGTATGCTAAAATATAATTTTATTGTTATTAAGGTGTTGTACAGAGGGATTCCTATGTCATAAGTCAGGTAATGAGTACATTTGTTTTTTGGACAATGTCACCCCTTCCATCACTTTTTCTTTTTTAAAAAAAACTTACTCATTTTAGAGGTGATAAACGCCAGGATTTCATTTACACGTGTCAGGTAACAAGTTCATTTCCTTTCATACAGTGTCATCTGTTCCCCTATTCTCTCCCATTCCCTCCTTCCCATTTCCACTCATGAGTTGCACAGTTCACTTTCATCAGTGTCCAGTACACTCCACTACTGCACTTTTTCACCCATTTCCCTCAGATTTTGTACCCTCCTCCCACAGATATGCACATGAACACACCACGTATAAGATAAAGAATGTAGAATCATCAGAAAAAGAAAAACAAAATTAAGAAAAAAGTCTTTAGAGTTTCAGTATGTATACCATTTTATATAAAGTAGTTGGGTATTGCACCTTTCTGATTCTCTCCTAAGACTATGTTCTTTTCTTTTGGTCTCATTGTATGTGAGTACCTAGAATCCTGTGTAATTTGTCCTATCTCAGTGTTTTAGATCTAACTTTTACATATCAGGGAGAACATGTGCCATATGTCTCTCTGATCTACAAGTGTATTCTTTACCTGACTTATGTAATTGTAACCCCTCTATCACCTTTATACTAGCAATAATAAACAGACATATGCACACATACACACTTAACCCCATGAACTGGCCTGTAAAGAAATCCACATTGATATCAGCAGCTTATTTCATTTTGCTTCTCAAGTGCCTCAAATACTTCCCCAGAAGAGATTAAATACACATTATTCATCATAAAAATATATTAAAATTACAAGTCAATGAAAGTGACATACAGACCATTTCCACATTTTCAAGTAGTGCCGATGTGCAACCCTATAGACCCCCCTATAGACCTTGAAATTAGGTTTGACACTAGGCACGGGGTGTGATGTGAACTACATTTGTAAGTAAAGTGGGAGACCAAGGCATCTAGGTATCTGTGAGTTGTGACAGTACTTTAGAGACAGCGGGAGCTTTATACAAATTTTAGAACCCTGAAGCTCTTGGAAAGGAAGAAGACTTGGCTAACTTTCAGTAACAAACAAGCTCAAGGGATACAACCAAATCTGATTTCCTCTGGAACCACAGAAACTTAGTAGAAAGCTTCTTTTCATCTGCTACTTTGTCATCTTCCTGGTTTTTTCTAAACCGTAACATTTCTAACATATCATACCAAATTTAACTTTTGAATGGAAATGTTCCCAAACATGTGGGAGAAATACGATCCCCACATTGACAATGTATTTGGCCTAGTTATCCAAGGTAAATTCATGAGCTTTAAACTCCACAGCATTACAACTCATGGAAGATCGAGTTTACCATGTTGGTTTTTCTTCTCAGTGGGGCTCACTGTAAGTCCTGCCCTGGAAATCTAGAAAACCAACATTATTAGCCATAAGAATTCCCAATGGGGAAAAAAAAGACAAAGGAAAAGAATAAAGTAGCAAATATTTTTCTAAAAATAAAGAAGACCAAACTTGATACATTAACTATCTGGGCTCATGTAATAGAGGAATGAATTAAGATCTACTGAATAGAAAGAACATCTAAGATAATTTTATCAATAGAGGGGAAAAAATAATGAACCATCTCAGCAAATTAGCTGGGGGCAGCAGTGAGAACAGAAGTAAAACTTTCTAAAGAAGTTATGGATCAGATGGAATACAGAGTTCCAGTTGTGCAATCGGCTAGCACACAGTACTTACACAGATGGAATACAGACTATTATAGCAGAACCTACCTCTTGATTTTACATAAAAAGAGCTAAGAATCAGGCTGGGAAGGTGGCTCAGTGGTAGAGCGCTTGCCTAGCATGTATGAGGCCCTGGGTTCTATTTCTCAGCCCCACGTAAGCAGAAAAAGCTGGAAGTGGCACTGTGGCTCTAGTGGTAGAGCTCTAACTTGGAGCTGAAGAGCTGAGGGACAGCGCCCAGGCCGAGTTCAAGCCCCATGACTGACCAGGAAAAAAAAAAAAAAAGAGCTAAATATCTTGTTGATTATGAAAGAAAAGGAAGACAAACCTCTTAAAAAATCGTGGAGCAAGCCAGGTCACCTGTAATCGTAGCTACTCAGGAGTCTGAGATCTGAGAAGCAGAGCTCAAAACCAGCCAGGGCAGGAAAGTTCGTGAGACTCTTATCTCCAATAAACCACTCAGAAAACCTGAAGTGGCACTGTGGCTCAAGTGGTAGAGTGCTCACCTTGAGCTGAAGAGCTGAGGGACAGCACCCAGGCCCTGAGTTCAAGCCCTACAACCAACCAAATAATAACAACAACAACAACAATAATAATGTAGTGCAACTTCCATATTAAAGAGGAAAAATTCAAGCCAGATGCTGGTGGCTCACACCTGGAATCCTAGCTAGACAGGACGCTAAGATCGGAGGACTGTGATTAAAAGCCAGCCAAGACAACCAAGGGCAGAAGAGCCCCTGTGAAACTCTTATCTCTAATCACTCAAAACCCAAAAATAAAGCAGACCAAAAAATTTGAGCTGTGGCCCAAATGGTAGAGTACTAGCCTGGAAAAAATGATCTCAGGGACAGAATGTAGGCCATGAGTTCAAGTCCCACAACCGATAAAAAAAAAAACTAAATAAAAAGATTATGTAACAAACAGCAACCCAATCAAAGTAGGCAAAAATAAGAAAAAGAAACGAGAAAACAAAATCATCAACAATCCTAAATTAAGAAACAGGGCATGAAAACTCAAGAATATACATCTAATTCCTGCTGGAAAACATTAGAACCAATGCTATTTAAACTGATATAAACGAAGCAATGAAAAAGGACAAAAACTAGATGGAATTAGAACACAGTTCTATAGAACCCTAAACAGTTTAGAATTTTGCTCAACTACTTCAAGCCACTACAGAGAAAGGAAAGTGTGCTACTTTCAGTAACTAATCCAGATGGAGGAGGAAGAGTGCAGATCTCACAGCAAGAAAAGCAGGGCAAGCAAACAGCATAAACCAACCTCATTTAGGAAAGTGTATGTGAAAATTGCAAATAAAATAATAGCAACCAGGTTTTAGAAATGCACCAAAAGTGTCCATGTGTTTGCTAGACAGCATGCATGCAATCCTAGCTTCTCAGGATATCTGAGGATCACAATTTTAAAGCTGGTCCAGGAAGGAAATTTTGTCTGTGACACTCTTCCCTCTAGTTAACCACCAAAAAGTGGAAGTGGAGCTATCACTCAAGTGGAACAGTGCTAGCCTTGACCAAAAAAGCTCAGGACCACAAGGCCCTGAACGGAAGCCCCAAGACAGCACAAAAGTAGTATTAATGATAATTCTTGAATGGGAGCTACAAGAAACAAATCATTAAAAGTACTAAATCTTAGAAGCATGAACCAGTTTTCATGATCACTTGCCATATTTTTCCTTATGAAGGCAAGACTGCTCTTTTTGTTGTTTTAGGAGCAATGCAGTTAGTATTCATGATTTCCAGCTAGATAACGTCCCCATTTCTTTTTTGCTTAATTTTTTTTTTTTCCTCTTAAAGAGAAGATCTGCAGTGATCCTACCTCCACCCCCTCGGTCAGATACAATTTGTTCTTTGAGAGATAAGGTCTAACTTTTGCTCTCTGACCTGGAAGAGAGGTCCTACCTCCTCTAGCTCCCAAGTACCTGGGATAACATGCATGATCCCATGAACCAATCCTTACAAGACTTTTTTTTTTGCTGGTACTGGGGTTTGAACTCCGCCGTCGGCTGACACTGCAACACCTCAACCACCTTATTGGTTGTTGGTTATTTGAAGATAACAGTCTTAACAGATCTGTCTCAATTCTCAGATCTTGCCCTCCGGAGTAGCTAGGATTTTTGGCGTGAGTCACCAACGTCCAGCTGAACCACCTTAGAATATTAAATGTATTTGAGTACCATGATTTGAGACCCCGCCACAAGCTAGCCCGGGTAAGGAAATGAGTGAGAGTGAGGGTGATAGTTACCACACAGAGAGCACCTCATCCAGCCCCAGTGAACCACGGGTGGACACGCAAAGATCCGAACCAAAGGAGAAGCTGGGCAGTGGGAGGGTTTGGGGGAAAGCCAACCGGTTTGAACAAGTTCAAGTGCGGTCAGGACCGGCAGGGTAGAAGCTACAGACCACAAAGAGGTAAAAGGGCCTAGACTGGCATGGGGGGAGGCGGCGGCCCTGGGGTTGTCGGGGGCGGGGCCCTGGTGTGATGGGGGGAAGGGGGAGGC